TTATATCCTCACAGAAGGAGAGAGAGTGTAACAACCCTCCCCAACATGGTATTTTAAAACGAAGCAAATGGATCGGAAAGTGGGGAAAGAGGAGTTTGAATATGGTAAGAGTACAATAGGAAGAATCCTATGGTTGTCCCATAAAGAGAGGGAGAGAGAAGGGGAAAGATCTGCACGTGCCCTATCGACGCGAAAGCTTGACAGAATTATGGCCAATGAGGACAATAGACAAACAGTCTGAGTTATGCCAGCAATAACCTTCACGTGATTTAGAACCATAAATTGGAGGAATACCTTCCTCTTGACAAGAGTAGTGGCTTTTTTTTCTGTCTGATTCTTCCCCTTGTAGCGTTCGGCGATGGTAGGCGTCTATAGCCGCACGTTATGGGTTGGCCATCCATCACAAGTTCCCCCCATTCCTCTACCCATTCTTCATTAATATTCATGTAATTAAGAGGCATTCCTCTATAGCCAAAAATTGTCTTGTCTTCTGATAGTGGATTCATTAATTCTAGATAATTAATGATTATTGGTGATTAAAAGGCCGGTAAAATATTTGGACTAATTACAAAAGACGGATCTCACTGCTGACACCAATTATGCAAATTTGGGATTGGTGGAGAAGTGATGTTTAAGAAGATTACGTGGCTTGGAGATGTCGGCGGAGAGTGTGATTTGCATAGTTAGCGGTTCTAATTGGGAGATAAACGTTTGGATTGTAACTACTCCAGATATGTCAGCCGGAGAATCCCTTGTTGAACGACATTGCTTAGGACTTAAGAACTTGGAAATCTCTATGGCTATTTGGGATAGCCTATCTTCTATCTTTCAATGCTTTAAACCTCTCCTTAACTTGAACAGATTGTCGTTTGTGTGTAAATTATAAGAGATATATTCCAAATGTAAATAAAAATTTCAAAAGGTTTTACGCTGTTTATAAGTTTTTATTTTTATATTATGCACACTCAAATATATAATATCTTTAAGATAAATGTGAGTATAAATATTTGTTATAAAAATTAGAAACATAAAAATTAGTTTGTGTTTTTAATGTTTAATATATATATATATATTAGATAATAAAAAAGGCATATATTGTATTTAATAAAAAAATTATTCGCCAATATTTCAGTTGGCTGAACACCAAATTACATTTTGTAATGCCTTGACAAAGGTTTGGCGTTCAGCCAACCGAAATATTGGCAAATAAATCTTTTATTAAATTTAATAAATGTTTTTTTATTATCTAATGATTTAAATACGGATTGCTCTATTTTCAGAACAATATATATATAATAATTAGATAAATTAAAATAGTGAGAGAAATATTCCAGCGGAGTTTTGGCAGTTACGCGTCATATGCTGGGTAGAAAAAGGAATAAGCGAAGAGATAGGTTTATAGAAAAGAACAAAGACAGAACCATGATGACAATTTTCCAATAAGAAATTACAAGAAGAATGGCAGTATATTACTGCTAAAAAGGGAAAACACTAAGGTGATGAGATCATTTATTAAAGATATATAAGCTTGGAAAGCTTTCGTACAATAACGTTCTTTAACAGGCTGAAATACGAATTACAGCCTCGTATTACAGCCTGTTGAAGTATGTCATAGTTCCGAAAGCTTATATATCTTTAATAAAGAATCTCATATTGTCGTCTCATTATTCCTTCTTAGAAATTAAGTATAAGTTAAGGTGAAAGGAAAACAAATTTTTCCCCTTATCTTCTCCTCTCTTGAAGTTTGAAGTGAGATGCACAGCCCTGCTTGGCCTTTCCTTAATCCTACATGCAAACGAGGATATAACAGTTTTATTTAATTTTTTAGTCGAACTGCTTTTCACATGTGTAGACATGTGGTGCGCTTACAGTAAAAGCAGTCGCTAACTACCCACCATGATTATCATGGCCTGTACCACGTGTACTAGGGATAAGCAAAAAAAAAAAATAATAATTTTTTATTTTCAATTTAATTTTGTTTTAATGACAATTTAGTGTTTGAAAAAATGGTACAGTTAAACCTGTTTATAGCGCCCCCTCTAAATAGCTCCTCCCTCTCTATAGCGCCCGATTTAAAATACGTAGTAGGATGCTATTTACATTAAAAGTGACCTGTCTATAGCACCCCCTCTCTATAGCACCCTATTTTGGTGAGTCCCAAGAGGGGGCGATAGGTTTAACTGTATTTATATTATTGATGTGTCGTCGTATCTCTCTATTCATCAACACGTGGGCAGAAAAAGGCTTTTTATTGCCAACACAATATAAGGTATAAGACTTGCCTAACATGCTAATGGACTGTCACTCTAAAACTGACAATGGTGTTTATATCTTCTAAAAGCATAGCCAACTATGCAAAATAGTTCAGATACAATATAAGTAAATATGTTAATACACAACAATTATAATACACATCTATATATATAAAACAAAATATCATACAATTAAACCCAGGTTTTTTTTTCGATCCAAAATATGCCTGTTTTTTTTTTTCTATTTGAATATATTCTTAAGTTAAGAAAAAGGCATCTCCTTATCGTGCAACTGAAAGTTGCTGATGGCTGGCGCCATCTATCGGAATAAATATCAACTATTCTCGTTGATTTTTAATTATTCCAGAATTGGCCAAATACCCATTCTTGATTAATCAAGAAAAGCTAACCACGGACGCGTTTCGGGCTGTTGGCCCTCATCAGCGTGGTGCAAGCTGTACCTCAACGACCAAAAAATTGGTCATTAAGGCATCCTGAAAAATCATGAAACGGGTAGTTAAGGCCAGAATTGCGTGAGGACGCTACACAATGTGAAAAAATAGTACAAATGTAACATTGTACTGGGATAAGGTGCATAAATTAAGAAAAAGGCATCTCCTTATCGTGCACCTTATCCCAGTACAATGTTACATTTGTACTATTTTTTCACATTGTGTAGCGTCCTCACGCAACTCTGGCCTTAACTACCCGTTTCATGATTTTTCAGGATGCCTTAATGACTAATTTTTTGGTCGTTGAGGTACAGCTTGCACCACGCTGATGAGGGCCAACAGCCCGAAACGCGTCCGTGGTTAGCTTTTCTTGATTAATCAAGAATGGGTATTTGGCCAATTCTGGAATAATTAAAAATCAACGAGAATAGTTGATATTTATTCCGATAGATGGCGCCAGCCATCAGCAACTTTCAGTTGCACGATAAGGAGATGCCTTTTTCTTAATTTATGCACCTTATCCCAGTACAATGTTACATTTGTACTATTTTTTCATATTCTTAAGTGTTTAAAAGATTTAATAAATATTTCTTGGCGCGCATTATGTTTTAGATATATGCAAATGATATTTCTCCTTTATATATATATATATATATATATATATATATATATATATATATATATATATATTTATATATTAATTAAAAGGCATATTTTGGAACTAAAATAAAACAAACATTTTATTTAATATAAAATATTTTAAAATATATATATTTTAAAAATCGTCTCTTTCTTGTATATTGTTCATTAGAGTTTCATCACCTGATGAAGAACAGAGGATAGGGTCGAAAGGTCGCGTTTTTTTTTTTTTTTTTTTAATGTTAGCGAAAAAAGAAGCTCCATTGGCCCCCGATTATTGCAAAAGTCCAACCCCACCAGCGAGTGCAAGTAACCAAAATTTGCTCTGACACATTTGTAAGTGTAAAGCCGAACTACTTTTCAAATGTGTAGATATATGGTGAACTTACAGTAAAAAGCGGTCTTCAACTTCTATTCACCATTATTATTATGGCCTCTGCCTCGTTTACTAGGGATTAAAAAAAACGTTAGCGAAATAATATAAAAAGACACATTTCTCTCCCCTTCGTTCTTACCGTTTACCCGTTACAATGAAAGTAGTAGAAAGAAGTCTGTGGTACTACAGGGAAACCACAGACTCTAATGGAGTCCAGAAGTCCATGTCTGCAGACTCCCACGGGACTTATCATCCATCTTAGTCCGTCCTCACGTGATTGGCTGACACAAATGACTATCATTACCCCTCTAGTTACCCACAATTAAATAAACAATTCAATTTCCCAGTTTATACCTGGATACAGTGCTTGAATTATATTTAATGATATTGGTTGTTCCATCAAAATTAAGGTTAATTTAATCTTTTAAGTTTATTTTAATGGATCGAACTACTCTCTGTATTAAGAAATAAATTGTTTTTTTTTTTTCCTTTCAGACTTTTTGATGATTGCCACGCGATCTTTCCAGATTCCACTGTAATTACATATAACGTGCATTATTATCATTGTTATTGTCCCTAGAACACGTAATATAGGCCATGATAATCATAGTAGGTAGTTAGCGACTGATTTTACTGCATCATATCTCTATATATGTGGAAATCAGATCGACTTTTGCACTTACAAGTGTGTACAAGTGTGTCAGAGTCCTGTCACAAACATAGATCCAATATGTAAATTCGAAACTATTATAGACGCCTATGATTATTTTTAAAAAATTAAACAATATCTACTGTCCCCTTACTACAATAAAAATTCAATGAGTGTAATTGCAATAAGGACAATAGAAATTGTTTAATTTTTAAAAAGAATCATACGCGTCTATAATAGTTTCGAATTTCTATAACAGATGGCGCGCTAACGTATCATAATAGATCCAATATAGACGGATAGTTTGTCGAGAGAAACTGTACACAGTTAGCGACAAGAATTATCCAGAGATCTACATCTAGGTAGACATTATCGGAACAAAGGTGGGTTGTCTGTTACTGGATCGCATTGTCTAGCCATGTAGATATTTGGCCTGGAGATTTCGGCGGTAGAGGGAAACCGTCAAATATAGAGCACAGCAATCTAAAAAGAAACAGTGATATACGAGACACAACTGTAAAAGAATTAATAATGAAGAATGCCTCTTGCAAGAACATCAATCTAGGAGACAGTGAATCCATGGACTAAGACAGAGGTCGGCAAACGGTATTATTTACTAACGGAAAAATATGTCCAGGGTAGCCTAGTGGACATGGCATCTGCCCGGTAACACTGTGGGTTCGATTCCCATCCCTGGACACTTTTATTTTTCCGTTCATCATTACTCTTCACAATTCACCCTTTCATACCTCATCCAAAAGGTTAGAAATAATCGTTATTTCTCCTTGAAATAAATTTTGAATTTTCGTTGAAAAGAAACACATGCGGGATAGTATTTCAAATGTCGTTTTACAATCACAAGCCGCATTATATTATATTGTATAGTTCTCGCATAAATAATATTTACGTATGGAACTATATAAAGAGCCGCAACTTCACATCCAAAGAGCCGTGTGTGACTCACGAGCCGCAGTTTGCCAACCCCTGGTCTAAGAGGGAGACACTGGTATGGAAGCAATGAATGGAATCAACGCTACAGGAATCTAGGAAATATTGGAAGCAGTGGTCTAGGAAGCGGTGATGTAAGAAACTAATTCAAGATTCAATGGTCAATAAGAAGCAGTGATCATAAGTTAAATTGTAGTAGTCTAATTTTCAATGATTCAAGAATCAATGACCGAGAAGGCGGTAATTCAAAAACCAGTGATTCAGGAGCCAGTTATTCAAGAACCAGTGATCCAAAAGTTAGTTATCCAAGAACCAATTATTCAGAAACCAGTGACAAAAGAACCAGTCATCCAAGAACCAGTGATGCAAAGGCCAGTTTTCCAAAAGCCAGTTTTCGAAGAACCAGTTATCCAAAAGCCAGTTTTCCAAGAACCAGTTTTCCAAGAACCAGTGATCCAGAAGTCAGTGATCCAAGAACCAGTGATCTAGGAGCCACAGTGATCCAAAGAGAATGCCAAGAAGGCAGGAAGATATCCACCGGAACAATCCACAAATTGACATTATTGATCCCGGCTAATGTATGCAACTTTAAATCTTGTCCTCTTTAATCTCCGGCAGGACCTGATCCTCTTAATCAAGGCAGAATTCCATTACTGACCTCGCTAAGCCCAGCTGTTGATAATTGTCAGACTCGCCCCACAACACCATAATCCCTGATCACTTGTTTCGCCATAATGACGGGTCTCTGGGCGGAATTTGAATAAGAAATCCTGGAGACACTAATTGTCGTCACAGATTACTATACTGAAGTTGATAACAAAAATATAAATTTACATTCAAGATACCCTGAATCATTAGCAAGTACCAATTAAAACTGAATTTATATTTCGACATGGGAAGAACGGAATAATGTATTAACAGCCAATATGTAAAATTGATGTAAATAATTGACCAATTTTCGATCTTTTCAAGACCACAAATTCTTTGATACCGGTATGGTAGATTAAACTGGCGAAACCGCTGGGAGGGTTCACCACTGATGAGCTAAGCCCTCCCATTAATTATTCCATTGCAGTAAAGACAGTAGAAATTGTTTAATATTCAAAAGAATCATACGCGTCTATATTAGTTTCGAATTTTCATACTTAGAATATATTAGGAGTATAAATAAGTTCGTGAGGTTCTTTTCGAAAATTGAAACTTTATTGTGAAAAAATTGGTTGTGTGTCTGTGTTGTATCAAGTGATTGATAGATTTTGTGCCTTATATAAATTACTATCTGCTCAATTTAAGCAAATAGTGAAATCTAGAAATACTTCAAATATTTCCAAGAAGGTTCATGACTTCACAACATTATCAAACATCAAAATTCGAAACTATTTTAAAGGCGTAAGATTCTTTTTGATATTAAACAATTTCTACTGCCCTTACTGCAATGGAAAAAATTAAAGGGAGGGCCTGGCTCATCAGTGGTGAACCCTCCCAGCGGTTTCGCCCGTTTAATCTACCATACCGCTGTTATATTGCATTTTTGGAACTTCCTTTTATAGTGATACTGTTGTTATACTCTTGTAATGGGTATTTTAGAAGAACTATGGACATAAGCTTTGAGGACAGCAGAATTACATACATTTTTCCATTGCAGTAAGGACAGTAGAAATGGTTTAATTTTCAAAAGAATCATACACGTCTATAATAGTTTCGAATTTGCATACAAGTATGTATTCGTATACTCTTGTACTACTGTGTGTACTACTTGTACTCGTGTATTCAAACGGAAAATAATCTAAAGAGACAAAAGGTCGCCTCTCCCGTCAAAATAGACGTCAAAACTAGACGCCATCTATCTAGTTATCAGATAAAAATAATTAAACAAATTTAGTCTATCTCTCTGGAGAATATCTGTATATACGACTGAAGGTCTTAATAAAGTTTGTATTGAAAGCTCCATCAACCAATTACTTATTTAACTCCCGAAATTTCAGTGACTCTCTGTCAGTCTCCCCCCTCAGTGGAATGTTTATATTTTTACCAAACCAATTTCCAACCAACAAAAGGTCTTCAAAAGGTTGTGTTGATTGATTTTTATATTTTTACTCTTTGTTCCCTTCAGAACAAATCTTTATATCTTTAAGACAGTTGCACTCATGGACAAAATTTAAGGAAGTTGTACCTTTTACCATGTATATTGGGATTCAGACAATAACTCTTAAAGATATTACAGTAACCTTTATTGAAGACACACGAGATAACCAATATACACTCATGGACAAAACTTAAGAAAGTTGTACCTTTTAGCATGTATATCGGGATTAAGACAATAACTCTGAAAGATATTATAGTGACCTTTATTGAAGACACACGAGATAACTAATATACACTCATCGACAAAACTTAAGGAAGTTGTACCTTTTAGCATGTATATCGGGATTCAGACAAGAACTCTGAAAGATATTACAGTAACCTTTATTGAAGACACACGAGATAACCAATATACACTCATGGACAAAACTTAAGAAAGTTGTACCTTTTAGCATGTATATCGGGATTAAGACAATAACTCTGAAAGATATTATAGTGACCTTTATTGAAGACACACGAGATAACCAATATACACTCATCGACAAAACTTAAGGAAGTTGTGCCTTTTAGCATGTATATCGGGATTCAGACAAGAACTCTGAAAGATATTACAGTGACCTTTATTGAAGACACACAAGATAACCAAGTGTGAACAACCTCTGTCTCTTTCAAAAAAACGACTGGCGACATTAAAGAGTTTCCATTTCCTTAAGTTTTGTCCATGAGTGTAAATGCTTTCTTCAGTATCTTGATTGCTCTTGTCTAGTTGGTAGTTATGTAGTTAGTAGCTTAAAATGTTGCGATTTTCACATTTCATAGATCATACTCCCTCCAGTGTAGTGTATATATTGGTGAAAATATATTGTATTTGTTGTTGTCGTGTCCAAAGAAGACCCTCAGATGTCTCCATACATCTCCATCACAGCAGCAGCAATATCCACTATCTTGGGTGGGTAAAGCTGCTGCTCTGGGTCTAAGTTAATTTTCTGCAAGGCTGCGGCCATTGCTGGACATGAGAATATGTGGGTAGGTGTTAGTTCCACACCAGGACAGTTGTTGCATGCTTTATAAGTTCTTGTGCCATCTGGATTTATTGTCATTCCTTTATAGTGTTTTGTTCTAAGTCTTGTTATAGTTTTTTGTCAGTTTTCTCTCAGAGTTTATTTCGCATATTTGATCTTTTCTTATTTTTGTTTAATTATATCTTGTATTTTGCCAAAGCATCATTTATGAGAAATACATTATATATAATGTATTTCTCATAAATAAATTGAATAAAAAATATAATATATTTGACTCGAATTAACTTCCTGGTTCCAAAATAATTTTACTAGGTGTCGCTCAAACAATAACTAATATAATATAATACACTGCGGCCTGTGATTGTAAAACGACACTTGACGTTACACCGCATGAGTTTCTTTTCAACGAAAATTAAATTTTTATTTCAAGGTGAAATATTGACTATTTCTAACCTTTTTGGATGAAGTATGAAAGGGTGAATTATGAAGAGTAATGATGAACGGAAAAATAAAAGTGTCCAGGGATGGGAATCGAACCCACAATGTTCCGCTTATGTGGGGGGGGGGGAAGTGTCCAATGCGGGCGGGATTCGATCCCGGTTCAAGGCTGTGGTAAATCGACTGTTTATACCCCCGGCCACCGACTTCTATTCGAATTAACTTCGGTTCCAAAACCACTTTATTAGGTACCGCTCAACAAGAGCAACCTAGTTTATGATATTTGAAACAATGAATAATAAGTGAAGGTTATTTACATATTAAACAAAAGGTTAACGCGGGATTCAATCCCGGTTCATGACTGTCGGGAATCGAGGGTGTTACCCACTCGTCCACCGACTTTTATGAATTAACTTCATGTGGCATATAAAGATAAGATTGTGTTTAAAAAGAGCTAAATGTGAACACATTTTCATTTTTTTATCATTTTGTCAATGTAATAGCCTGTACGAGTCAATAAAACTAAAATATGAGAAAAGAATAATAAAGACTATAAAATAAGGTACGACAGGACACAATGGTTGCTCAAACCACTGGTGGAAGAAGACAAGAGGTCTAAGTACCTACTTGTGGAGAACATCAAGCAACAACAAGCCAAAAGACCAAAGAAACCTCAAGACCTTATTATAAGAGAAAATATAGGAAGACCCACCTGTTGAAGACACCGGACAATATCAAACAATGAAAAACCACCTGTGAAAATGGATACGAAAGAAAACCATCCTGTTGGAGACTGGGCAGCACTAAACTTGAAGACCCAACCATGGAACACTTGTTGGCATCAAGCATGAGAACCATCTGTGGAGGAAGACACGAGACAAGAAGAACCAGCTGTGGAGGAAGACACGAGACAAGAAGAACCACCTGTGGAGGAAGACACGAGACAAGAAGAACCACCTGTGGAGGAAGACACGAGACAAGAAGAACCACCTGTGGAGGAAGACACGAGACAAGAAGAACTAGCTGTGGAGGAAGACACGAGACAAGAAGAACCACCTGTGGAGGAAGACACGAGACAAGAAGAACTAGCTGTGGAGGAAGACACGAGACAAGAAACACCTGTGGAGGAAGACAAGACACGAGACAAGAAGAACCGCCTGTGGAGGAAGACACGAGACAAGAAGAACTAGCTGTGGAGGAAGACACGAG